AACAAACTGACAAGATCTTTCGCTGTCTATAGCCGGGTACCCATTCCCACCTGGGTGAAGTGAGGAAAATTCGTGTAAAGTGCCTTTCCCAAGAACACAACGTCGGGCCCCTGACGGGATTCAAACCCACGACCTTACGATTGCGAGTCCGAGATCCTAACCACTTGGCCACAGACGCCACAAAATATAAATGTCATTTATTATTATTATTAAAGGATGGGACCCTAAACCACTCACTTCATGGTGGCATTGGGCTTGCAGAAGTCCACCTCAAACTCCACCTTGGGCTCTCCCTCCATGCACTTGATGTCCTCCAGTTCAATGTTGAACTTGTCGGGCTCCTGAAACGTTCATGTAGCATAACCAAGTCAACACCATGGCTTTACAGGGTCGGGAACCAGACACACTCTTCTTTTATAGCTTTTTTGTGACAGCCCAAATAAGAGCATCTCATCTCTTAAGGTTAAGAATGTTGTTTCTTGTGGTAGACAATGCCATTGAAATATTATTATTACATCTTTATTATCATTATGTATTATTAAGAGCTATGTCGGTGATGATAGACAACTATGTTCCAACTGCAAGACAAATGGAATCATAATTCTTAACTGATAAAGAACTTGAAAATGTATGTAAAGGGTACTTTATTTCAGAGCTTGCAACATAGGAAAATAATTCTGTACGTCAAAAGATTACTAGGTAACCTTTTAAATTGAAAGGAGAGACACTTCTTTTTACTTAAAGCAATTTTGGGATTTTTGAAAAGCTGATGTTCAATTGCACTTCATACAGCGATTCATTCCTTACTGAGAGAACAAATAATTATAAAGTCATTAGTGTGTACAGAAACTGTAATATCGTGACTTCTGCCATGTTAACACGATGTGACAAAATGAAACCATCCAATGAGTAAAAAGAACAGAACAGGTCAAAAAGTCACACCCTCAGCCACTGAACACGCAAGACTTCAGTGTCAAACTGAAGAAAGAAACGACCTGTGAGTAGAAGTGAGAGGGCATCAGGCATCATCTCTCAACGGCACAACTATGAGACTAGAAGCCAAAGCCAGAGAAATTGTTAACGACATCAACAGAAATAACTTCATGCAAGTCGTGTGATGTGCGGTAAAACATACGTCAGGTAAAAACGAACAGATACACGACATACAACATGGATTATCAAGGGTATGGCACAGATACATAAATTAAAACAGGGGGGGGGGGAGAAGACACTTATTATTATGAACATGTAACATAAATAACAAAATACACTCGGCAAAGTATAATCTGTTTAGTTTGGGGATGGGAAATAGAAACAAAGAAAGAAAGATATAAAAGAAGTTTTTTACCATCTAGCACAAGGCTTTTTTCAGAATGAGCATAGATGTGTGTTGCTCTTAGAGTATGTATCTGTATATAACCCCAAAGGTCTATTATAGTATTTAAATTCCTGCATGCGGTTGAATGATGCATTTGATGTAAATGTACATTTTGTCAGCTTTATTTCTCCTTTCATACTGAATTTTAATGAGAGTAATATATATAATTTAAATATTTTATGTATACCTGCATACGTTTTACGGTCCTGTACAGCCAAGGAAAATTTCCCTCTGGGATAATAAAGTATTATCTTATCTTATCTCAGATTTGTTTTTAGCAACAAGAACTACAACATTGTAGAAAGTCACCACATACATTGCCTGCACATTTTCTGATAAGAGTGGTGATACAAAAGAGGTAAAGAATTCAACACCTCAAGGATTAATGCTTACGTTTTGCACGGAGTGAATTTATCAACTTTTGGGACAGAACAATTAATTTTTGTTTCTTCTGCTTTCACAATGTCCCTCTGGTAGATTCCATCTGAAGAGCTGCTATATACTTTGAGTAACTGCAGAGGTTGTGTATCTTTATAAAAGACAGACAACACTCCTCCCACCCCCCCCCCCCCCCCCCCAATATCTGTTTCAACCTTTGACACATAAAATGTGTTAATGGCCCACTTGCCAAAATCATGGGGCTATAATAAGAATATTTTCATGTTCTTTTATTGTTCTTCATAAATCCTTGAGCAGCAGTATCTCATTTGAAAAAAGCCGTCACCGCGGTTTTAAGCAAAAAAAATTCTGAAATTATGCAAACTGAGCCCAAAAAGAATGAAATTACGCGATTCTGTTATTTTTTAGCAAAGAATGAAAAAGGAAAATAATCAGAATTATGCAAAAAATGATCAAATTTTGCTAAATTATGCGGGGTGCATAAAACCACGGGGACAGATAAAGGCATCAGTGGCTACATTCTTCACCACAGATGTCGATGCCTCAATCTGTGTTATGAGGATTTCCTGAGAGCCATTACATAAATGTTAACACAAAGAAGAGTTATCATTGAATATATATATTTTTCATATATATTGTCTGACCAGGCAAACCATGCTGGATCTTGATGGCACACTTAGGACATAGTTAAGAAAAAAAACCAAAAACAACCATTTGACCAAGCCTCACAAATTGTAAATAAATACATTAGCAACATTCCAAACAAAGGGTACATTGGATATAATAATATGATTATTTAGGTTGAATGTTATGGAAGGAATGCGTTTTGGCTTGACAACAACAAAGACATATAGAGTAAACCTGCCCTTGCTTCGTCCAACATACAAAGGAGACAGAATCACTTTGAAACACGTAGACGAACAGAGAATGAGGGTACCCCAAAGATGCAGGAGGGAGGAATGTTAACCATCAAAGGAACAAGTCTGCAGTAAAAAACTGTATCTTTGACTCAGGCTTTAATTGTTATCCCCTAATTCATTAAAATTCTAAGATTTCAAAACCTTGGCGAGATTTGTACCCAGGGTACAGTATACAGAAGTCAGTGAAGACTACAGGGGAAAAACAACAGTAGTCACAAACTGGAAATTGTGAGGGTGCCAATTTTAAAAGCTTTTGGACTCATAACTTCATATTTGTCTGACGGGTGGTTTATTGTTAAGTGTTGTTGAATGGGAAATCTTACAACAATAATCAACCAACAGTTGAACAGAAATACAGTTATGAGTCAACAGGCGTTCAAAATTGGTACACTCCCGATTTTCAGTTTGTGACTACCGTCATTTTCCCCCTGTAGTCTTAGTATTGGCCCAGTTCTCGAGAGTTCTTTATAAAGACAATAAATAGTACAAGGAACTTGAAGGTTTTTGTAACATTGTCTTTTGGGACAGAAGACAGGAAACTTACTACCCAAACTGGGAGTACATGCAAAGTAGAAAAGATCTACACCTAGCCTTCTCGGAAAAGGGCGAAAAATCTCGGAGGTCCCGTGTGCTAGCTGCACACGTTAAAGACCCCTTGGTTGTTTAAAATCGTTAAGAGTAGGCTTCGGCCGCCACCCGAGCAAAATTCAAAATTTCCTACCAAGTGAAAAAGTTTAAGGAGTCCCGCATGCCCATTTAACCTTATGCAGTTGCGAGCACCATAAAACACTTACCAAAAAAACCCAAAAAAAACAGAAGAGTAAATGTAAACACTTGAGAATCAATATACAGAAATTAAACGTCAAAAAAGATTGATACAGTTTTACACAACGAAACTCTGAGACTTTTCGTAAAGAGTAGAACTCTTCCAATTCCAAGTGCTTAAACTTGACAAAATAAATTGAGAATCTTCAAGACTATTTTCCTAGCAACAGATCACTGTGTTAACCCTATCCGTACGCCCTGGGGTCATTTTGTACCCCTATGGTTATATTCTTCACATTTTAGAATACTTCTAATAAGAAGATCTCTTTGAAATGTTCAGTATTTCACAAAACATCATTTTGACAGACTGCTACGCAAAGCGCACGGATCGGATTAACAAGTAAAGGGAAAGTGGTAGCACAGAGTTTCCCACGTCGTATGGATACGATAGTAAAACACGATGTACGGACAGGGTTAACAAAAGCCAATGTTTTGTTATTCCGCAGCACAATGTTAGCATTCTGAGATAAAGGGAAACAAGAAAACAAGGGCAGGTTTAGTCTGCGTCTTGATTACTGGTTACATATCAGCTGTTAGGGAATAGACTGGAGCCCAGTTCACAACCAACCTAGTTTGATGCAATGACAATGTAACTTGTAACTGGAGGAAAACAAACATTTCTTATTTTATATTATCCTTCTTTCATTCTTCACAGAGGCTTCCGTCTTTTCAAGTCAAAGCAGGAGAAGCCTCCATGAACGACTCATCAAGGTTTTTTTAAAATAAGAAAGTTTGATTTGAGTCTAGTTACCTTCTCAGCATGTCAAACATGGTGGATTGTGAAAATAACGAGCCCCCGGTAAGAGGATTGACGTTCCAGAGGGAGGTAAGGTAAGTGAGTGGAAAAAAAGATCATTGACTTGGACGTCTGCCGCCGCGTCTTCACCTCCTTGATCACTTTTCTCTTCTGCAGCGTGGGCCAATCAGGGATGACCTCGGCCAGGGAGGCGCGACGTTGCTGCATGGACGACCTTCTCTGCTGCTCCAGCGCCTCCAGTTTGTCGGCCGACGGTTTCTTCACTGGGGTTTCAATTTCTACAGATTGCCGGCGACTGCCACTACCCTTTTGCTAGATGTGGGCACAGGGTGGAATAGATGGGAGAACTAGGCCTCAGTCTACAGTTCTAGCATGTTCATGGGGGACAACTCGGAGAGAATACGCAGTGGTTGGACACAAAACACTGAACATGAGACATAGGGAGACATAAGCATGAGAGATAAACACTGCATTGTAAATGGCGGGAGTATAAACTGGGTCATGAGATCAACTTGTCAGCGATCATGACAGGTAAGGAAATGTGAGAAATTCAGGAAATGATCAAAGTATACGAGACAGGACTAAGTGAGGTAAAGTATCAGCATCTTAACTTGAACTCCTAAAACCACAACATGAGAAATTATACATATCTTAAGAAAGAAACGACTTATAGTAAAGTGAGAACTAGAACCACAGGAAACGTTTAAAATTTACTTTAACCAATTTTTATGAAGTACTTTTCTAAAGCGTGTGATTCAATACAACTATTAAAAAAAGAAGAAATTCAGTAGAAATGTTTTCACTTGACAAGTAAAACTATAGACACCAAATAAGTAGGAGAATAAATTTCAGCAAATGTTACTCTTAGATCGTTATTCTTCCTCCTTTTGACATAATCAAAAATGGAATTTTCTCCATTTAGTAAGTAGTCAAGTTGATCAAACACTTTCCAAATGTCCAGGTATAATTTCCCTCAGGTTCTTCAGAATTAGTATTATTCAAAATCATCCATATAAATATTTTAGAATAATGATAATATATTCAGTGGGTACAGACATAATCAACATAAAAAAATGTAAAAAGAAAAATTAACATGAATAAAGAAATAAATGAACATGAAAACACTCAGGCCGGCTCTCTGACACGCCAGAGGCGCCCGCTCCGAACAAAAGGACACACATCGGTTTTCACCCTGAAACAGAAACAAATTGATCAACAAATCAATTGTGAACACAGCAGCCCTCACTTCCACGTAGCACGACACCAGACTCTGGTCAGGACATCGACATCTGGAGGAGACAGACACATATGTGTGCAGTGGACACACCAACGACAGACATACGCTGCACGACACACAAATCTGTCTAAGAACATAATATTTTGCGGGAGACAGACACAGATTTCCAGTGTACACACCTACGCATATACGCACATATGCTCATACGCTGCACGACACAAGAATCTGGTCTGTCCATGAACATATTTTGAAAGGAGACAGACAGAGACGTACATATGCACATAATATGCTGCAGGACACAAGAATCTTGTCTGTCCATGAACATATTTTGCAGGAGACAGACACAAATTTCCAGTGTACACACCTACGCATATATGCTCATACGCTGCACAACACACGAATCTGGTCTGTCCATGAACATATTTTGCAGGAGACAGACACAGATTTCCTGTGTACACACCTATGCACATACGCACATACGCACATACGCTGCACAACACGAGAATCTGGCCTGTCCAGGAGACAGACACAGAGGTCCAGTTTTCAAATCTACGCACATATGTTGCGCAACGCAACACAAAAATAGAGTCTGTCCATTGACATCTCGAAGAGACGGAAACATGGGTGCCGTGGACACACCCTCCCACACATACGGAACAAAAACTTCACAATGGCTGCTTGGGACTCAAAACGAGAACAATGACGATGTCATCGGTGTACACACGATGCGACTCTGTCGGAGATGGAAAAAGTTTGACATCTGATGTCAGTATCATGCAAGCTACATCTGTTACCTTCTCCACAAAAACATCACAGTAATATCCAAAGATCCTCAATCTATTGTTAACATTTTTTACCCCTGCCCCCACAAAAAAAACTCTAAAAAACCCAAAACAAATTTAAAAAAACAACCCACTCTATCACATTACAAAACAACCTCATGAATAGGAAAAAAAAACCCCAGTCATTGGTCGCATTTAAGCACAAGGGGGCTTTCCTAAAAAATGCTGTTTTGAGAAAATCGAAGATAGCGTTTTTGCCCCTTGTTCATTTTTTTTAAAGGACAAGGAGAGTTTTCTCTACAACCAAACAAATATAATCATCAATGAAACCAAACTCCTCCTATAGGTGGAGCAATGCCCACTTTCGGTTTAGGTCAAGATTTCTGGAAACCCCCGAAATCTGGGTCAGCCCACTTAAAAGCGACCAATTATTCTCCAACTTCCGACAGGTCGCACAGTGTGCACAGTGCAGCAAGTATCATGCGGTGCTTTCAATCTACTCAGCATGAGCCTGCGTCAGAGAGAGGAAGCCACGAGCAGCTAATGAACACAGAGAGAGAACAAAAAAAAACAGGGCTAGCAGACAAGTAGCTAGCCTGATATTGTTTTGCTCACTCCAGCTACAAAACTCGAACTCTCCCACACACGCAGGACAAGAAGTTATGAGAGATGAGCGCAGGGAAAAGAAGTCAAGAATTGTCTTACAAGCAGGCTCAACTGCTCTTTTAGCTTTTCCTGTCACTTTACAACTATCCCCTTATTATGCTACCCTCGTATCACCCGTTGCTTTAGCATACCCAAAAATATTATGTACAAATAGATTTGTTTTATTGTCTTTGCCAACAGAAACTGCATTACGGTACACCACTGAAACCAAAGATATTTCATTTATAAATTCTATAGTCTTTTGAAGCAATTATATTCTCTCTCTTTCACTCTCTCTCACCTTCTCCCCCCCCCCTCCTCTCTCTCTTTCTCTCTCTCTCTCTCTCTCTCTCTCTCTCTCTCTCTCTCTCTCTCTCTCTCTCTCTCTCTCTCTCTCTCTCTCTCTCTCTCTCTCTCTCTCCCTCCCTCCCTCCCCCCTTCTCTCTCTGTGTGTTTTTATTCTGACCAAATCAGCAGAACATCTATTTCAGGAAAATCCAACGTAAGTTAGCTGTCTGATGCTTTGTTACTTAATTATGTTTGACATCTTCATAAGATTCAAAGAGATTCTACATAAGTATTTAACTGCTGATCTTTCCACTTGTTGTCTCATAAAAATAACTGGATTGCAGATCCTAGAAGTACTGGTATGTAACATAGAATATATGATAGCAACAGACATAGGAGACAGAGAGAACAGTCTGATAACACATGCAATCTTCACCCTCAATTTGTCAAAACTTCCAGAAAACAATCTGCTTTATTCCATCTCACAGCAGACTATTTTCAAGAGTAAATCGGCCAAAGATATGAGAGGCCATCGACAAAATGAGGGTGAAGGTTTACACAAAATCATCAAGGCAACTAAAATTCAGAGAAACAAAAAAAGCAGGTTTCAATCTTGCAAAGATATTGTATACAGCAACCCATACATCATTTTTTTGGGGTCTAAAAAAATAAAAAATAAATAAAGTGTAAAAAAATCCAGAGCATTTGGTGGATAAGCTAGAAGAAAACAGCATTGAAATGTGAAAACCCTCCGACCCATTGTCCTTTCTGAGCAATATTTATTATGCTAAAGGTTTGAAAAGTGAGATGCCAGGGACCTACTCCTAATCTTTACCCCCAGTATTGTTACAAAAGTAGGCCTATCATTTCCAACAACTTTCGAGAAGTCATCTCTGTCTGGAGCCAACTCAAACAAAGCCCAAATGTCTTTTCATAGATGTTACAGAATGTTCCAGACCCTCTGTTTGTACAAAGTCCTGGTTCCTTCTTAGCTATCCACCAATAAAGAAATGGTAAAAGAACTGAAACCGTCTACATCTAGGAGTATAAAGCTATGAGCCGGGAGTTACGAGCATTTCATAAGGGACCTTTTCTTCTTCTCTGTTATAAACCATCTCTTTCTGGTCGCGTTCATGCTCGGCACGCGAGCCTCTCCTGTAGCCCTCCGTGCTTTTACCAGTGCGCTGGTGAAGTGTAAACAGAGAGGAGTGAACACACCCACAAGAACTAGTTACTGTCATGTGCAGGGCTGACAGCAAAGTTCCTCCAACACCATTTCTACAATTTACTGGGGTGTAATTAAGGGGGAAATGTTAACATCTCAAACAAAAAGATTAACATGAATGGTTAAACAAGGGATAGCATCATCGAAAGGTTCCAGAATTCCAGAAATTACAGGGAGAAAAGCATGACTCATATCAAATTGTCTTAATACAATTCTTGACATTTTCAGACGATTTTGAGAGAAAAAACTTTAAGGGTGTTTATGAACTAATTAAGCATTGGCTGGTAGAAATTCCATTAGTGGAATAGAACAGTTATTGCATTATGGGAAAAAGTCATACAAAATGTTACAATCATGAATGAGTGACCATGGGGAGAGGCAAATGGGCATTGGCAAAACAGTAAAAACTTGCATGTCAAAGAAATATTGGAACAGTCATAAAAAATATTGAAACAATCATAAGAATTATTGGAACATTCATAAGAAAATATTATAAATTTCAGAAATTCAAAAGGCATGAATGGTGAAGGTAACAAAAATACTGTAGATTTACACCTGGAATAGACATGAAAAAAACCCAAAGCAATATGTAGATTTCTTCAGGCATTAGAGAGGTAATGAAATTCATATGGAAAAGTAAAGAAAAATTGATGGTTAAAAAACAAACGACATAAGCCTCAAATATTACCTTCTCATCCTCAGAATCGCTGCCTTCTGCTTTCTCCACCTTCTTCAGACTCATCTTCATGACCTCAATCTGAGAAAGCCTGCGTCCTTTTTTGTCCACTGCAAGTGGTGCATACGAAAAGGTCAGCGTTGTCAACATTACAATTAATACGATATCAAACTTGGCCACAAAATTCACAAAGAGATTTTTTAAAGAAAAATTAGTAACCTAATAACAATTACTTAAATAATTGCTTTAAAAAACATGGAACAATTCAGCTTACGGTTTAAAATCAGAAGCACAAGTGAATGAAAACTTGAAATTAATTTACTTGAACTCTTACATTTCTCTCTCAATATTAAAAAATTGAACACATCCGTGCTGAAAACAGCCTCAGTTAAACTGGTTTAAAGAAAGTCAACCCTCATCTCAACTGAAGTGGAGGGGAAATCATTACTATGGGGTTTTTCTCTAAATAATGAAGGTTATGCAATAGTGTTCAAAATGAGTATAGCAGCTGGCTAATTTGTTGTGCAGCAAAAATAAGTAATTGACAAAGTAGTTAGAGATAAATTCCTTGTCACTACGTTGTTTAATGAAAGAGTGAAGAAGCTCTATGTTATAGAGAAAAAAAAAAAAAAAAAAAAGAAACAATGAAAGAACGAGTAAACATTGAGTTGTAGAGCAGCTACGACATGAAAGAAAAATTTTGACACATGGACAGCTACGACATGAAGGAGGACAATGACACATGGACAGGTATTGCCATGTGGACTGGAAGGTAGTTTGTTGGCGCCCATGACGAGTGACGCTCTACCTTGACAACCACAACGCGCCACAACTTGGCACGTGACAAACACTGAAACATCTACAGAGCTAACGATCAAACATTCAAGACTTTGATGACGGCTAGTACCTGACACTTAAAGCACTCATGCACTGAGGAACTGGACCACTAGGATTAAACAAAGATAGTAAATAACAAGATGGGCCACTCAGCCAAAAAAGTGTCCGCAGGAAGTATGCTCTTTGCTTCAGATGGCGCTGCAGTCTGTTTTGAAGCTCTCTTTCGTTTTTCCAGAAGAAGAATAGGAATAGCACCTCCTTGCGTGCGCAGATCGACTGCTGTTCATCAGCAGTTCGGGTACGTTCAGTGCGGAGTTTTAGGTTTTTAAAATTTTAATGACCTCTCGCCTTTCATTCTAAAGTCAAATTAAACGAAGAAAAACCATCACCCTTTCCTCCGGAAGAGGTTTTTTGTCAGCGTAACCATTTTAAAAAAGCGTTCTTCCGAAATTTATCCCAAAACTTGTTAGTTTCACTTTGATTTTTTAAAACTCAAGTAGGGTAACTCTGTTCGCAAAGAGTGCGCTTTTGTGAAGAGGGCGCCACCAAATTTTGAGGACACTTTTTAATTGGCTCAAAGAGAGAAGTGGCCCCTCTTGTTATGTACTATCTTTGGATTAAATCTACAGATTACATATATACAGAAATACAGATCTTCCCCCCCCCCCCCCCCACCTCCTCCCTCCACTCGCACAGTCTGATATCCTGCATTTTGAATTAAGTCTACTGACTTCAAACTAGTCCCAAATAAACTCAAGATGGAAAATACCTACGACACAGAAGGAAAACAGAGTAAATATTATACTTCCATTTTTGGACCATAATGGTTCGCTAACAGAAGCAAAGAAGTTCACAGAAGAAAACATTCTTTTTGGAAACCTTCTTGCCAACCTCAAAACATTTTCTTCTTGTTGCACAGCAACTTTTGAGAGTTTGTTTTTGTTTTTGTAAAGTGTTTTACTGCGCTCGCAACTGCATAGGTCATATGAGTGCGCGGGACACACCTAATATTTTTAGTTGGTAGAAAATTTTGAATTTTGCCCGGGTGGCGGCCGAAGCCTACTTTTATCGATTTTAGACCACCAAGGGATCTTTAACGTGCGCAACTTGCACACGGCTTTTGAGAGTAATGATCTACGGTTTGATACGAATAATAATTTTTTCTTTTAAAATGAAACACATTCAATTCCCTTCGAAGAAATTATTGTTGGTCAATGATGACAGATTTGAGACTAACACTACCTGACTGATATCAGTACCACTAAAGTTAAAACAGACAATAAAAGCACTAAAATTAAAACTAGGAACTATGCAATTAGTTTTTCGGAGCCTGAAACTTTTGACAAAAGCCAGCGCAGAGACAAAAGTTTGGTCGGGGTCAACAATTGTCACCAACAAAACTTAAAGAAAAGACTTTCATTTCCCTCTAAGATAAATCTCAAGACAGTTTTGATGTCAAGCAGTAAAGAAAACTGTTTTTTAAATTTATTTGGAACAAAAATTTAAGGCTCCAAAAGTAGACTGACAGGAATCTCAATTATCATATAACTGTATTTTTTTTCTTTTATTTTTAGTAAAGCAACATTTAAATTCTAATATTGAAGCAGGATATTTCTAAACAGATGCAAGAACAATTTTAAGACACAGACATACAAATCCGTTTAGATATAGATAATATGTTTTAGGGCATTCCGCCAAAACATTGAGCACATAAAACGGACAGGTAAGAAGGGGCCAAGCATGAAACAGGTGGGCCTCCCTACAAGGTGGGCAACACACAACAGACAACAGACAACAATACCTGTCTCTGAAACAAAGAAAAAGACGGGCAGTTTTCATATCACGTGGTCAGTGAAAAAAACACAAGAACACACAAGCCTCGCTAAACACAGGAGGCAAAACGAAGAACACAAGTGCCATTTATTTACACAACATAACATATTATTATAGTCATTCTGAAAACACCACATCCATTCTTCATTCTACTCTGCAATATTTTTTACAATAAATTTTCCTACACTTAGGCACGATATCCAAATCCATGATTTTTTTTTTTTTGCATGAGCTTTAGATTTTAAAGTTTAGCCGCTTCACAACGTATGAAAAAACCCAACAAAACAGGCTGTGGGTATCAGAGCAAAATGCTACCGAATGCCTGTTGACAGTATCTGCATTATACCACAACAGGGATGTATATATTTATATATATATATATATATATATAAAATTCTACTATTAAAACAAAACAATAGATCTCAAACCATCAAAAAACAAACTATCTTCAACTTCACAGCTGTTATAACAAAAGTTGTACTGAGCTCACTAGCAAAAATGAGAAAAGCCAAGGAGACAGCGGCACGTAACACATTCATCGTGACCAGGATGAAAAACTGCGTTTGACGAACAACCACAACATCGCCTGGGTCAGCTGACCTCAGCTCTCGACAATAGGAACATTCAAACACAATCATTTATTTGTATCGTTTGGAAAGGCAGGGCCTCACTTAAGGCAAGGCTGAATAATATAATTGAACAGCAGAGCTTGGCTGTGGAACCTACAGCTAAACCTGTTCAAACAGCCCCTTGACCTGTCTAAGACTGTCCCCGTGGTTTTATGCACCCCGCATAAGTTAGCAAAATTTGATCATTTTTTGCATAATTTCTTAATATTTTCCTTTAGTAGGCTATTCTTTTTAAAATTAACAGAATCGCATAATTTCACATTTTTGGGCTCATTTTGCATAATTTCAGAATTTTTCTCGCATAAAACGACGGGGACAGCTAAGACAACCACTTCCTACTTTGTGTGTGTTTTTTAAAATATTCTTATGGCAGTGTCCGTGAGGACCACCTGTCTAAGAAGATCATGTTTCTCCTCAGCAAAGGGTGGTTGTCTTAAACAGGTTCGACTGTATTTTACTACTGCTAAATGAATCAGCAGTTTACGGCGACCAACTGGTCCCAGAGACCTACATTTGACCGTATTTGGAGTCCCAGAAGGATCTCAAACAGGCCTCTCAAACCCAATCTCAGGCCCTTAGAAAACCCGGCCCTAATTATGTCATAACTCCACAGACGAAGTAAGAAACTGTAGCAAGTGGAGAGAGCACTAGGTCAGAGTGGTCTGTGCACAGCGCCTCCTGGTGGATGTTACCTGGCTTCAGGTTACCCCAGTCTGGATCTTCCTCGTCTTCCTTCTTCTGGGCAACTTCCCTACAACAGGCACAGAGTAAATAGTTCTTTTGTTAGTGAGAGTTTTACGGCACTTGCAAGAAAAATTGATCACACAGTCGCTGAAGATTAGAGGTGTAACTTGAGAGTAATGCAGAAAGAAAAGGAGTAATGAGGACAATAGATGTTTGATAGGAAAGAAGGAGCAAACCACATCAAAGCACCCGCCAACTACCCACACAGGGAAAACAGTGGAGTCAAGATTTTTTAAAAATATGAATGTAAAAGTTCATCCGTGTGTATACATGTGAATGAGTGTGTGTGTGTGTGTGTGTGTGTGTGTGTTTGTGTGTGTGTGTGTACGTGTGTGGATGTGTGTGGATGTGTGAGTGAATGAGGGTAGAACCACACAAAAGAAGACCTATGCTCTGATATGCATGGAAAAAAATGCTTTATCATTTTTCTTTCAGTTCCTATTCTTTATTCTTTATATCCCTTCCACTGGGTATAGTGCTCTGCTTTAAAAACTTTACCTGTTTCAAATGGGACGATAAAAAAACCCATATTAAATAAAAACTATGGAGTGATGGAGAGAGAGGAAGAGAGAAAGAGAGAGAGAGAGAGAGAGAGAGAGAGAGAGAGAGAGAGAGAGAGAGAGAGAAAGAGGGGAGGATGGGCAGGAGCGAAAGAATCATTATTGGAACCATGTTCAATATCTGGATATTAAATGCATCAACCACTTTCCTAGTAGAAATACACTATAAAATATATTGTAATTTATCATTTTTGCTCTGACATACAGATAAAAAAATGTTTATCGTCTTCTTTGAGTCCCTCTTCTTTTTCCTTTATCTCCCTTCCACTGGGATTGTGATTAATCAACCACAATCACTGACCTACTAATTCCTCTCAGTCCAGATTTGCCCCTAACAGGCAGGGTCAGATCTCAAAGCCCGCATCCTAAATAATCTAAATTGTGTAGACCATCAATAATTTATTTATACAGGAACCCGCCATCCATGTCCAGATGCTGGTTCAGCCCTAAATTGTGTTGATGAGGACGTAAAAACACATATTTAAAGAACAAGCGACTGACCTGTGCTTGAGCAGGGCCCTGTAGTCCAACTGCGAGTCCTTGGGATCTAAACAAACACATCACAAATGTCACGTTACAACACCACGCGGTGGACATATCTCCCCCCCCCCCCCCCCCCCCCCCCCACCGACAGCTATAAGTCATGTACCGTCCTGGTACAATGGTTGCACTGAAACATCATCCAGCCTGCCTAGCTAAATGCACTATATCGCAACCCCAGTGCTTTCTTGTCGTATCTCCATTTTTAATAACAGTGAAAACAGCTCATTACAAAGAGTGAGCTTTAGAAGATATCACATTTTCACTGTTTTAAAATATGGAGATACGACAAGAAAGCATTGAGGTCGCGAGGCGTTAAACAAGCTGCCTACACTACATTCCCTAGGTGCGGAGTAGATGTGAAACGTGCTGACAAAATTAGTTATTTCTTGCAATCCACAAATGAAGATATTGGCCAGAAATCAACACTAGGGTGAAATTTGCAAGATTTCTTTTGATGCTGTGTATTCTTTAAGTATAACATGCCTTTCATTATTTCATACTTATAAATTGTAAAAAATTCACCTGTTAATGCGATGTATCTATTTCCATCAGGCTTGAATCCGAGAAGTAACTCATTTTGTCAGCACACTTTACAAATAATAACATTCAAGTAAAAGAATATGAGAGGAACAAAAGCGTCTAGCCTACTCTTAACCAACAAAATGTCTATTGGAATAACTTATACAAAATCATTCTTCGTGCATATAATTAAAATCTTTGAATACAAAATCATTCAAGATGTGAGCTGAGATTAACACTGCTCCAGCTGTATTTCTCAATTCTTATAATTCAGAATATAAAAGCTCTGTGGAAAATAGTTTCCATTTGCTTTCCAAAATTCATGATCAATTTTATGATGCCATAGCAAGTTTGAAAATAGAAAGGGGATGTGGGTACAAATTATAGTGTCTTTCTGAACTTCACATAGCCTTTTGTGAATTGAAAAGATGAAAAACTCGGAAGACATTAAGCAGCTGATGAGAAATACAGATGAATCAACTTGCTCTCTCTTCACAAACTAATGAACGTGCAAAAACTAGAGAAAGTAAGAATACAAATAGTGCTAGTTGCTAGCTCTGTTGTGGACAGGCAAGTAATGTGCAAATAAAAAACATGGCAACCAAGTAGTAACATAATAAAACAAAAGAAAACAAAACAAAAAAAGAAAGAATGAAAACAGAAAAAGGTTACAGAAAGTTAGGTTCATTATAGAGTAAAGTGCATTCTAAAAGAGAGGTGTTACATCATATTCAGTCAAACTTTCCAGGCAAACATTCTGGACTGATTATGTGTAAAACAAGCAAGAAAAAGATAAAAAAGATGTCTTCCTCTTTACGGAATCTTTTAACAAATATTTCAATCAAGCATTGTACTGTGAACAAAGCACAGACATGTTTTGACTGAATATGATAGTGACATTGCCATACAGAAATACTCCTGTTACAACAGCAGTTGTGAGAGTAGTACTTCTGGTTGGCAAGATATCCAAATGACAGACAAACTGAACTTACCAAATTCTACGGACAGATTGATGAGGAGCTTTACCAAAGATAGCACTACGCGCGGAGCGCTTGTCCAACTTGAAGAAAAATCTTGTTGAGGTGCAACTCGTTAATTTGATCATTTTCCCGAAAGACTTCCACAACAAAATAAAAACGCAAAATGAAAATAAATGTAAAGTGTCCATCACAGTAACCGACACCTAGTTGTCTTAAGCCGCATTCGTGCCATTGAGTACCGTCTTGAATCATCAAATAAATTGCAGGGAAACAGCTGTTTAGATGACAGGCCACATTTCTGCAGCTTTTCTGAACATTAGAATCCACCGCAAAAAAGTCTGAATGCAGTTCTTTTGCTCAGAACAAAACCTTATGTATCATAAACACAAACACTTCAACAAAATGTTTTTGAAAAAAGCTCTAGATGGTTATCTAAATTATGGGTTTCATCAAGATCTAAAACATTTTCTGGAAATTAAAAACCTGTTGAAGTTACATCCACAGGGCTACTGCACATATATACAGTTATCAAACAAAATATTTTAAAAGCCAGTTCACTTGCAATGTCCAGGATCCAAGAAAGTGGGACCCCTAAAATAATAACTAAATAGGGTTTTAGAAAAAAGAGGACAAGCATCAAAACTTGAGATGGCATTGTTGAAAAAAGGAATCAAATTAAGTGTTATTAAGATCAAAATGCAGCATGCATGCATACAAAGACTAATTGTGTCAAAAATCTATGGGCAAATAAAGGTAATGTTCTCTTTTATGTTTCTAGTTTTTCGATCAATGCAACCATTGTAGTATGTCCCAGTGAGATAGCTGCTCCTCCCAAACAGCATACAAAACCAAGGACACGACTGACCTCTCATCAATATAGCAGAAATGCTGAACAAAATCAAGGCATGTAATTTAAAAAAAATAGATTTAATGAATAATTACAGTCCTCCTGAAATCTACATTCCACTGAAGGTAATTACATATCAGATACCGAGCTACACTAAATGTAAACTTATGAAAACAGATCAATACTACAAAATTAGAAAGCTGTGAAATTCTTAAAATGTATAGATACTTAATAAGATCTGAAGTTTGTTCTGAAGGACATAACTTATATTCTCACACTGACATTGATAATTTCATGCGAATGGAAAAGAGATCTCACAATATACAAGAATAGGAGGAATACGACACAGCCAAATCTTGAGATTTGCAGGCCTTGAGGAACCAAACTCCAAGGAGCAGTTGATGAATGGAGGAGGAACAGCGAGGGAACAATGGAAGGAAAGAGGAGGCATGATGGAGGAACAAAGGAGGAACGACAGAGGGACAAGGGAGGAATGGCTGAGGGACAAAGGAGGAATGGTGGAGGGACAGAGGAGCAATGGCTGAGGGACAGAGGAGGAATGGCTGAGGGACAGAGGAGGAATGGCTGAGGGACAAAGGAGGAATGGCGGAGGATCACAGAAGGGGAGAGGTCAGGGAGGCAGACGACACAAAAAGCCCAAGTACAAAAAAAAACCCACTGAGGAAGGACAAGGAAATTACTCATGAAGACCCAGACACTGGCACACACTGAGAACTGTCGCAGCAGACCGGACCACAGACTGTAAAATGGCGCTCCGACAACTTAGACAAAAGTTACGGGAGTGAGGAAAGGAGAATTGTAGCAAAGTGGGATACAAAAAACCCAAACGACACTCTCCTTAGAGACGGAGAGAAAGGATGACGATAATAGCTCCACAATCTTTTTCTCCGATCGACTCACCTTTGATGAACACACTGAAGGTGGCTGTGTCGGTGATGGCCCCCTCAGACTCCACGATGACCGTGTACTTGGCCTCGTCTGTCAGACGTGACCTCTTGATGGACAGAGTGGACGAGTTGCCCGAAGTCCTGATGGTCACACGTGAGTCGTCCTTGAGCTCACGAGGTCCGCGGTAAAACTTGATGGCAGGCGTGGGCTTGCCCTTGGGGTCAACGGACACGGTCACTTTGAGGTCATCACCTTAAGGGAGGGGAAACAAACAAATACATTAACGCAAAAACTTATCTTATTTAGTTTTTGTAAGAGTTTTACGGCACTTGCAACACAATAAAGTCATATAAGCGCCAAAGATTTAGAGGTGTTACAAGAGAGTAACAAACATAAAAAAGAAAGAGGGGAGATAAGGACGATAGTTGATTGATAGGAAAGAAGGCGCAAACCACACCAGAGCACCCGCCAATCACCCATAAGCTTACCTTATGTATCAAAGCTTCATTTTTTAATATTCAGAACAAGTGTGCAAACAAAGCCTGTGTCAAAGATCTACACAAAATGTAAAGTGTGCTTACAAAATGAGTTACTTCTCGGATTCAAGAATTATAGGTGAAGTTTTTATAAATTATAAGCATGAAATAATAAAAGGTATGTTACACTTAAAGAATAAGGCATCAAAAGAAAACTTGCAAATTTAACCCTAGTGTCGATTTTTGGCCAATATCTTCATTTGTGGATTGCAAGAAGCAACTCATTCTGTAAGCACGGCTCACAAATAGAGTAAAAATGATATGACACTGTGCCCTATACATGGAAAACTGACACAAAAAATATATAATTTCTTGAATTATCTTGACAACTTTTTTAAAATCCAGAAAAAGATCTTTTACTGAAAATCTAAACTTTAAAAAACTTACAACCTTCACCAATCAGAGATCATTATTGTTGAAGCTTCACCAATCAGAGATCATTATTGTAGAAGCTTCACCAATCAGAGATCATTAATTATTGTAGAAGGATTGTGTGATGCACCACCAATAGAAAGGTAAAAAAGAAAAAAAAAGCTACTTCCAAAATATTTTCTTTATTTACCAAGTCATCTCCCTGCACAACAAAACCTCTGTCTGTGGAGTAATGGTTAGGCTCCTCTCCTCATACATAGGAAATGAGTTTGATTCCCACACAAGGAAGCTTATTCTATCGATTAATTCTGTATTTCCATTTTGACGCCAAGTTCCACTGAACCCACTCAGGTTCTGACTGACACTGTCAAAGCGACCTGTCTTCTACATCAGTGTGTGCCAAACTGGGCAACAGCACCCACAAGAGGGCTTTTTGGAGAGTTTGGTGGGTGGTGGGGATCATCGAGATGGTGAAGGTTTTATGTAATGCCCCGCTTGGAAATACATATACATGTTGGTTGGTAGTATGAGAATTTAAGCCTCTTAAATGTGACAAAAGTGGCCGCTAGCTATAAAAAGATTGACAAGCACTGTTCTGAATAACATAAAAGATGTATATAGAGGCATTAAGCAATCAACCAAATAGTAATTAATATCAAGTCAAAAATGAAGGAAAAATTTGAATCTCTTTTTACAGTCTGCATTTGATCAGAAGGAAAGCGATGTGAGCACACGTACCTTCCATGACCACCTGGTTCTGTGGCTTGTCCTTCAGGGCTGGACCCTCGCCGATGGCCATGATTGGTTTCTTGTCCTGCCAATACAAAGTTGGCCAATGTTAAAGAGATTACAAAATAGGACAATGTAAGAGAGAATACCAAATAGGACAATACAAATAGGACAATGTCAAACAGAATAAAAAATTGGACAATGTCAAAGGGAATACAAAATAGGACAATACAAATGTTAGAGAGAATACAAAATAGGACAATGTCAGAGAGAGAATACTAAATAGGACAATGTCAGAGAGACAATACAAAATAGGACAATGTTAGAGAGAAAATACAAAATAGGACAATGTTAGAGAGAGAATACAAAATAGGACAATGTTAGAGAGAATACAAAATAGGTCAATGTTAGAGAGAATACAAAATAGGTCAATGTTAGAGAGAATACAAAATAGGTCAATGTTAGAGAGAATACAAAATAGGACAATGTTAGAGAGAATACAAAATAGGACAATGTTAGAGAGAATACAAAATAGGTCAATGTTAGAGAGAATACAAAATAGGTCAATGTTAGAGAGAATACAAAATAGGACAATGTTAGAGAGAAAATACAAAATAGGACAATGTTAGAGAGAGAATACAAAATAGGACAATACAAAATAGGACAATTTTAGAGAGAGAATACAAAATAGGACAATTCAAAATAGGACAATTTTGGAGAGAGAATACAAAATAGGACAATACAAAATAGGACAATTTTAGAGAGAGAATACAAAATAGGACAATACAAAATAGGACAATGTCAGAGAGGATACAAAATAGGACAAAATGGTCCTACAAAATAGGACAAAATGGTCCTACAAAAGCCTTACCTTGGAAAAGTCCATGCTGCCTTTACCTGAAAGAGAAAACAAATGACACAGTCAGTTTCTGAAACAGTTCATCAAAACATAACAATGAAAACTGGAAAAATAAAAGTAAATCAACCTAACTTCAACAAGCCTAGAAGTACCCAACTCATCAAGAGGATTACGCTATTGAATCATCTCCATTTACTCCTCATCAGTTCAGCGAGAGTAAAAAGATTTCAAGAATCATAACTCTGCAGTTCATTTCACCTCAGTTAACTCCTCCATTTAAAAAAAAGGCCGCGTGTAGTTTGGCCAACGTTTCAGAAAAAGCACGGGACCAATAAATCATAAGCCATTAAGAATTAGACTGTGTTGGGCACATATCCTAATTCTCACGCAAAAGAAATGTTGAAATAAATTTTTAAAATTTAAAATAAAATAAACATTTCTTTTGCTATTCACAAGAGAAATTCTCTTTTCCTCTCTTGCAGATTACTGAAATTTGCAACCACCCTCCCCATAAATCCACACTGGGTTAAATTGTCCTCAGATGTAAATTTTTGTTCCGATTCAGAACCAAAAGCAGAAAATATCCGATTCAGAAACCCAACGACAAAGCTTCAAAGATATCTGCAATAGGGAGTGTGTATCATAGCTCCATTTGTGTTTCATCATTTCACAAACTCAGTTGCAGAGAGATATAATACAAAGAGCTGTGAAAAAAAAAAGGGATTTCTCAATTGCTGCTAATCCAAATAACATTAACCACAATGAGAAATAAACGACAATGAACAGAGCTTCCACAGAATGTTATAATAACATTCAAACAAAACGTTACAATAATATTCCCACAGACTGTTACAATAACATTTGTACAGAACGTTAAATTAACAATTACGCAGAATGTTACAAAAACATTTACATTGAATGTTACTGTAACATCTGTACAGAATGTTAAAATAACAATTACACTGAATGTTACAATAACATTTACACTAAATGTTACATTAACATTTGTACAGAATGTTAAAATAACATTTCCACTGAATGTTACAATAACATTTACACTAAATGTTACAATAACATTTGTACAGACTGAATGTTAAAATAACATTTAGACTGAATGTTACGATAACATTTGTACAGAATGTTAAAATAACATTTCCACTGAATGTTAAAATAACATTTCCACTGAATGTTACAATAACATCTATACTGAATGTTACACTGTGTACAACGAACAGACAGACAAAGACAACAGATGGATACGGGCGACATATTTAGCACAAAGACATGTGAACGGCTACAGTCAGTGAAGCTACAGGTGGTACAAAAATAAGACGATAAACGATACAGTGGCCAATTAGGCAAGCTACGGGTGGTACGAAAATAAGACGATACATAAACGATACAGAGGCCAATTAGGCAAACTGCAGTGAGTTAAACGTCAATACGGACCACATGTTTACTAAAGCTGACTGCTCAGTACAACATGGTGAATATATGTATACGACAAAACAAAACAGTGTGGGAACAGCAACTACAAAGCTACTCAGCGATCTGGTTCAAAAAGGGAATTACTAATTATAACCCCTTTTGGGATGGGTAACACCCAAAAACACTTGGAAACATTTTTTTACCCTCACAGAGCAGCGCTGAAGATTTCACTTCCTTCTGACAACAAGGAGGGAAATACTTACCAGACAACATAGCCTGTGCAATTAGCCACGGCACTCTTCCGGAAAAGTGGTCCCGGCCTAACTCCATAGAAATTTATTCACAAAATCAGAAACAAACACGGAAGTCGAGTTAAAAAGCTGACTGATTTGCCAGGATGAAAAGGCCACCGGTAAATTTGTAGAAAAGGTCCAAACCCATTTTAGACTATTTTTTGGCACTATGTTAACGTTTTTTAGTGTGTTCTTTTGGCACTATGTTAACGTTTTTTAGTGTGTTGAGAACAATTTTGGTACTAAAAACTGTCACAAACCGTTATTTTTTGTGAATTTAGCAAGGGGGAGACCCCCCTGCACCCCCTCCCACCTTCCATATTTTTTAAAGCGACTTCCGTTTTTGTTTCCGATTGTGTACATAAAGTAGAAATTTCTATGAGTTCGTCCGGGACCACTTCTCACGAATAGAACCTTAGCCACTTTAGGCTTGCTACCAGTAGGCCTACCATGTCTTGTATTGTAATTAAACAAACACACTTACCTCCAGTAACTTTGCCCCCCTCTGAAGACACAGCAGCTTACAGTAACAGTTCAAATAAACTAGTCAAAAATCACAGCAAACATAAAGGTTGCAGCAGTTTGATTTTTGGTATAGATACAGGAAAAATCTTTTTACAAGTAAATGTACAGTGGAGTCTGCATAAACCAAACACACTTAATTTTAAAAAACAGTGGTAAACAGAAACAAAATAAAATTCCTGGCTTTTTTTCCCCTTACATTTGAGGAACCTGTCTAAACAAAAAAAAACTGGCTAAATTAAAGAAAATCAAGCGACTCCTGCTGATTTTGGTTTGAGCAGGTTCCACTATAATTTTACATCTTTTTCTACACCTGGTGTCAGGAGTAGGGTGTGATACTATTGAACATTAATCTTCATGAAAACGGAACAAAAAAGTATGTTTCTTCTCCTAGTGACTAAATGACAAAAGAATCTACATTCTTAAATAAATGAGCAGAATTCTAACCCTAATGATATCTTTTCTAAAGGGTTTTTTTTTTAAACCCATGGAATCAGTTCAGACAAGGAGCATTAAGAATAAAAAAACAACTAATTAATTACTTACGCCACTTCATGTACATTTTTGTATTTGAAAACACTTCGATTCCGATCAAAATCCTCCATTTTGCTCTCAACTCATCTCATAGAAACCATCTCCCACTTTATCCTATCTTCAACTTGTATAAGAGTTATAAGATCCCAAATAGAATTGTGAGGCAGCGTGGTGGAATCAGGCTCTCGTCAAAATAATCAAAGTGAAGAAACTTGCATTTTTCCGCAGGTTTGTACATTTTTATCAAATTTATGTTTTTGGCCCAACACCTTTCACGTCCTTTAAAGAACTCATTTCTGTGTGGATTTTTCTGCAAAACGTTAATTAAAGGCACAAAAAATGTAAATTTTCAGTTACCACGGACTCTTAAACTAAGGAAATAACTTATCTTTGGCGGACATTTTCTCACTAATTTTACCTCTGAAAACAGGTGACCCCCACCTCCTTCTTTCGCAAATATCTCGACTTGTATTCAAGATAAATGGACATTTTTTTCATCCAACTAAAGATAAGTAAACAAGTTTTAAGATGATACCAATAACTCTACAGCACAAAAATTGACGAGAGCCTGATTCCACCACGCTGCCTCACAATTGCTTATGCCCAATCCAGTATGGCAGGCCTATGCCATGTCTTGTCTAGTTTACAGTACACACCCTACTCGACACAAAGTAGGTATACCCAGGAACTCCCACGAGAGGAGCGCAACCTTTATGTAGATTCATGCCCAAAAAGACAGGCCAAAGGCAGGATGCCCAATGAGGCAAAGTCTCCAGACACTCACGACATCCTCCTGGCAGACACAAACGAATCAGTGCAGTACCTGCTGAGTACGGCATGCCGCCAGAGAAAGACAAAGACAGAGGAGGAGGAGAAGGAGGAGGGGGGAGGAGGAGGAGAAGGAGGAGGGGGAGGAGGAGGAGAACGAGGAGGCATGCCCAAGGGAGGGTGTGCAGATAAAGCACCAACATGCTTGGGCAAACATCAAACAGAACAGAGAGAACTTCCAAACTCCTAGAGGGCGACATGCTTGCATGATGAGACACATACAGCAAGATCGGATACAGAACAAAATGCATTGAGAACAGACCCTTTTCAAGGAATATAATCTCTTCCAAGATTGTTTTCCCCAAAACGATTTTAATGTAAAATGTGCTTGAAAGCACAGAACTGAGATTGTCACTTTTACTGACCGATAGCTTTAAGTGGAAAGCTACTTTTGATAATACGGTACTTGAAATTCTAAAACAGAGATGGACCATGCATTTAGGAGAAGGATAATTAAACAATACATATCCCGTGTTAATGCTGAAAGAGACAAATTATTCACAAGCTGTGCTATATGTATATTTATTACACAAAAGTCACAATAGACTTAAAATTAATGTACTTAACAAGTAGCCTACTGTTTAGTCGTCATAGCCAAACTGTATATTATACATGGTCCACTTTGTAAAAATCTGGAGTAAAAAAAATACATGGACTTTCTGCCAACTGGAATGCACATTCCAGAGTTGACAACGTGGCTCTCCCCAAAAAAAGTCTCAATCAAACGTTTAGGAGTCTGTCCTTGTCACAAATAACCGCTCGCACCCAGCTCAGGGCTATTTTCCAGCCTCGGCGTCTCTGCTCACCTTCATCCGCGTCATCCAAGTCGTAGGGTCCGGTGCGGTCTTCGTCCGCCTCATAACCCGCATCTTCATCATCCTGATCCTTGAGGTTATCTTAGCAAAAGTCAACACAAAACTCCAGACTCAGAAGGGAGGGGCAAGCAACCAGGGGCAGGGTGGGGTCAAATCAACAAACGGCAAATACATGACTGTATGCTGGCAAGAAATACACACAGCATCTTCTACATACATGACACAGTACATAGAACAGCACTCTCAAGGAAGACTAGGACAAAGAAATACTGCACTTCAGCATTATGCTTAAAAGCTGTCTAGATGATTACACATGATCATTCCCTAATGTCTATCAAGACTGCTTTTCCACTAAGCAAGAGAAACGAGAGTAAATATCGTAAATGCATCAATCAGGCCTACAACATGAGAGTATGACACCCCCTTAAAACATACACTAAAGGGCAGAAATGGCTACCTGGATCTTTTATCTTAATCTGATAAGTATGGCATGAGGATGAAAAAACTGGCCTTTCACCAAGTTTTCTCATTCTTTCATCTGGATAAGTAAGGAAGGGTGCCTTAATTTTTTGACACACAGCCTGCTCAGGCCTCAATAAATTTGAAGCCTTCGGATATTAAGACTTTATGTTAGTTAGACCATCACCATGCCAGGCTTGATGAACTGTGACTTACAGTCCTAAATCTCAGACAGAAAGATCACCCTTTCTAATTTCTGAGCTGAACAAGCACGAAAGAACCATAACTTTGCTCTTATATTTTCTACCGAAGGTGTGATGTGACAGGGAAAAAGAAACGGCTGTTGGAGAAAGTCATCTTCCTTCTTGGCAGAAAGGAACAGTGACTCAGCCAAGCATAAACAGTCCCAGGACACTATTTCATCCCATGCTCCAACTTCCAGATTGGGTGTCTGGAGTTGTTTTTTTTTTTCCAAAAGCCTTTCATTTGGCGGCAATGAATCCAAAAAGGCCTAATTATTAGGGAATACGAAAGTTAAAAGTCAAAGAGCAAAGTTGATGGCCTTGAACCATGCACAGATCCAGCATATTCTTGCAGAGAGAAAAGTTCAGAACTATAGTTCTCCAACCAAACCCATGTTGTTGTTATTGATCCAGCCAACCAAACCCATAAAACTCTTGACATTTGTATGTAGTATGAGTCTAAATTAATAAAAACAAATTTGCCTAATATTTTATACCTAGTGATAAATCTATTAAAGTACAAATTTTGAATTTTAAAAAGAATCAAGACTTACTAACTCTAATAAAATCTAATCTGCATATTTATGACAAAGGCAATAAAATTATTCTCAAACTTTCACTTAAGTCTTTATCAAGTCAAAATAGTAATCTAATTTTAGTGAGTGTTATCACGGTTAGTGATTAGTGCTATTCTATGAAAATATATATAGAAAAACTTAAAGCTATTCAGCTCCGCTTTGATTTGCAGCACAACAAATACCGGAGCATGTCATCTACCGTACACACAAGTTACCGTGTGTTAATGTGAAAAAACAGCTGACTTATTCTTATAGAGCTGATGTGAAGACAATGATGTGATTATAATAATTATCAACAGACAAAGCTACAACTAGTAGTAAGGTTATTTGCCTGAACACAATATACACGTCTTTATTAAGCCTGTTATTAGTTTGTCTAAAATGTTGGTATTAATGTATTACAATAAGTTAATGAGAGTATTCTCCTCTGCAAATGCATTAGTCATATTGTCAGACATTGATGGGTGAACTATTATTATTATTATCATCATTATTATTATTATTGTTATTATTACAGTAAGTAATACAAAAATCTATCTAATTCACATGATCTTTAATCTGGTATCAGATTCTTTGCAGTTTCATTTTTGACAAAGAGAAAAGAGGAGTTTGAAAATTGTGTGAAAAGCAAAGCCAAATTCAAGCATAGAAGTGGGAAGTGCAAAACATGGGTTGACTCCTTACAGTAAACAGATGTAAAGCTGTAAGTTGAATTTGATCAGACTGCAGAAAGCAACTTGTCTAACTTTGGTTAACCTTCTTTTGTAAGGCAGCAGATGTAAGCATATAAGCTCAACATTTTCCAACTGCTCACATCCACGATTTCAGTAAGATGTTTTTACACCCAAATAACATGATCCCTATTTTGTCCTATTTCAAACAACAACTTTCTCCTACAGTGGCAAAAGCAGAACCGCTGAAGCTGCTGGTTAAGTTCAGCTACAGAAGCAGCATATAGCATAAATATTCCTGCGTGAGAAATTACCAACTTCTCACAGGGGACAAAGAAAAGCTGAAACAAAGAGCTTTTGAGCTAACAACTGACAGTTAATGATAGCAGCGCTGAAAAGACCATTTCCAAAGTGCTTACACAGAGACGCAGTTGTGCAAGACTTTTTCGCGAAACAGAATATCAAAAACAGAAGATGGGCAAGTGCAAAAGCAGACCAGAAAAGCAAACACTCCTGAATGTTTCCCCAGACAGGGTTCCATTTTTACTGGCTACAGTACTCAAGTTGTTTCAGTCTATATTTCCCCATAAGAACCACACATAGTTGACGCCATGAGGAGAAAATTGTCTTCTGTCATCTATTTTAAAGTAGTCCACTGAGCAATACCTTATAGCATTCCAATCGGAACATCTGGTATATTTTTCCTATTTCTCTTAGCATAATGACAAACACGGAGACAAAAGGAGATTGTCATTTGCATGAAACGACTTGGTCATAATCAAAGATTGTCAAGCAAGAAAAAAAGCGAAATAAAGACAAGCAGATGCAAAAATCCCTTACCGTAAGCCATGTTAGTTCACAATTCAAAAACACGATGCAATTGTCAACGGCAAGCCCCATACCTTCTTCCAGCTCTTCCAAAATAGTCGTGGGTTTTTTGGTATACGCCTTCCCACCTTTGCCTTTCGGCGCTCTCTTGTTTGATGAATTCTCTTCGTCAGAGTCTGCGTCATCCTTAGCAGGTTTCCCTTTTTTCACATTTTTACCTCCCTTGTTGTTTTTTCCCACTCTACCTGCGTCATCCTCTCCGTCGACCACAATCGAAGGAGTGGCGTTTTTCTTCGCATCGTCTTTCTTCTGCACTGGAGGTTCTTCCACCTTCTTTGGCTCTTCAACTTTTTTCGGCTCTTCTGGTTTCTTCTTCGGTTCTTCCACCTTTTTGGGTTCTTCTGGTTTTTTCTTGGGTTCTTCAACCTTCTTGGGTTCTTCAACCTTCTTGGGTTCTTCAACCTTCTTGGGTTCTTCAACCTTCTTGGGTTCTTCCACCTTTTTGGGTTCTTCTGGTTTTTTCTTGGGTTCTTCAACCTTTTTCGGAGGTGGCTCCTCGATTTTAGGTGGTTCTTCCTTCGGCTTCACCTCCACTTGCTTCACCTCTTCAGCTACAAGTGGCAAGCCAGGGTCAAGGACAGATGGGGGGAGGGGAGGAGAAAAATCAAGCAAAATTCTAACTCTACGAAAAAGACACTGGTGGTCACAGCAAAAAAGAGATGAAAATCCTGCACAATCACTAAGGCAAAGAGCAAGACTTTGCTGCACAGCTAAAGGGCACTAGTGGAAAATGTCTCATACTCATATCAGGATCACAAAATCTCATACTCATATCAGGATCGCCAAAATCTCATACTCATATCAGGATCGCCAAAATCTCATACTCATATCAGGATCACCAAAATCTCATACTCATATCAGGATCGCCAAAATCTCATACTCATATCAGGATCACCAAAATCTCATACTCATATCAGGATCACCAAAATCTCATACTCATATCGGGATCGCCAAAATCTCATACTCATATCGGGATCACCGAGAACAAAACTGTACTACTGGGAGAAAAAACGCAGACAATAAATCACGAAAATCCCAGCACAGGGCAAAGTTCATCACTTCTATAGAAGTCGCTGCTAGTCCTGAAAAGCACTCAACACAGTTTGTGACAGCAGCATTAAAATCTGGTCTCCAAAAAACTCAGTCAACTCTAGCTAGGGAGAAAGACTTGAAGCCACCAGCAAGTTCATCAGAAAAGCAAATAGAAGAAATTTTTGCAAGCATAAAACAATTGCATATTCATCAGAGAGAGAGAGAGAGAGAGAGAGAGAGAGAGAGAAAGAGAGAGAGAGAGAGAAAGAGAGAGAGAGAGAAAGGGGGAGGGAGGGAGAGAGAGAGTAGATAGGGGAGGGGGAAAGACAGACAGTGCAATATCATATGTCTGTGCATACAAAAGACGACTACATGGCATGACATCTGAGACAGAGATTATCTAAGCTTGAACAGCTGAGTCAGCACAAAGACAAGACAATCTCTGACAGCTGTCTTCATTAACTGTGGGGTTCAAATACTGTTTCTGAAGAAAAGGGGGGCACATTTCCACGTCATTCCAAAAACGAAACTCCGACATTTCATTATGCTTTCCGCAAACCACAGCATATTCAAAATAAACTAAGTGCTCATTTGTGTGTGGAATTTCAAATTGCAATGCATACAAATACAAATTGCTTTCACATACTCCATTCCCAAAAATCTAAGGACATTTCAATTGGTTCTGATCAAATCTAGTTGCAATGGAATAGCTTCATTCACTCACAGCAGAGAAAGTGTACATATCTCTATCCTACTGCAATGCAAACACAGATGTCTGCCACCCAGCAAGACTCTAAAACAAACACACGAGACACCGGAACACTTCTCGTACTGTTCTACAGGCAAACATCATTTCTTCCACGTACTGTTCTACAGGCAAACATCATTTCTTCCCCGTACGGTTCTACAGGCAAACATCATCTCTTCCCCTGCAGCTGGGGACATCTCACATACAGGCACCACGTCAATTGTGCGAAAAAGACTATGGGATTCTCTAATATAATAATCTTTCACATACAACTCATGCTTGACACCCAGAAGCAATCTTCAGCCAAGTCCATCAAAAAGAAAAAGTTATGCTGCACTGCCAGCTTGAACTAGCAAAGTGACCTGAATTATATTCGACTATCAGAAAATATTCTCCTAAAAATTTGTATCCAGAGGAAGAAAGAAAAAAAATTAACAACATGAATTGTCATGAATATAATTCATGTTTTCGCATGACCAAAATTTTTACTGAATTCTGTAAATATCTAAAGAAGAGGCAACTCTTATTTGAATAAAACAACTGGTCACAATTTGTGCAACATCTGAATGGACTTGGCTGAAACGACCAAAATGTGTCACCACTGGCAATGACCCAAGGTGTTTGTTTGCCTCACAGCTATGATCAGCTTACACACACTTTTCAAAAGAGGAATTTTGAAATATGCTAGCTACAAGCAACTTTCTCCAACACCTGCACCTTCCCTCTCCTCAGTCATTCTCAAAACAGTTTTATCGAGACAGAGGGGTGCTAAGACAATTCAGACATAATATTTTCACACAAAATCATCACACATTTATTTCAAAGTTGGAGTACTTACGTGCATCTTCTTTCTGCAATACAAAGAACAAAGTAAACACATGTTAGTGTGAAACATCTCAAATATAAACCAATTTAGATTTCCAAAAGCAAGTAAAAGTACTACAAAATAAGAATGATATTTTTCAATATTTCAGCCTTACACACCTGAAGAGTGACAAAGTGACCTGATTTTTTTTACGATGAAAGAGAAAACTGTATAAAAAATCATGAAAGACATATCTAGGGGAAACCATTTTGAAAAATATTAACTCCTGGTTTCTGTCATGCTTTTAAATATTTTTTTTTTTAACTTGTGCTTCACACAAAACAACCAGGGTCATTTCTCTTGTTGAGTTCATAAGAAACTCACTCAGCAACAAAAGATGATAAAATTAATGAAGATAGATGATGTTGGGGTGTGTCCTACAAAAAAGACACATTGACCAACACAGAGCTGAATGAGAGGTGTCTGTTTGCAAAAAGTGGACAGAACTTGTTATGCCATTATGAATTGAAAACTATTAATGATGAAAAATGATAAATAGCATTTCTCTAGCACATACTCCCATTCAACAGCAAACACTACGAGTTTTACAATCTAGATTATTATCTCAACAGACCCCAGAATACCCAGTAACATTTTCCGTTTCCCAGGATGCATATAGACAAAGATACTATTTATCAGGTCTCTACACAAATAAACAGTCACAAATCTTTTTAAAATATTTTTTTTAACCAGGTTCTCTACACAAATAAATAGTCAAAATATCTTTTATTAAATATCTTTTTTTATCTAGGTTCTTTACACATATAAACAGTTACAATACCTTTTTAAAAAAAAATTTAACCTGGTTTTTTACACATATAAACAGTTACAATATCTTTATTTAATATCTTTTTTTTAAAAACCAGGTTCTTTACTCAAATAAAAAGTCACAATATCTTTTTAAAAAATCATTTTTAATCAGGTTCTCTACACAAATAAACAAAGTCACAATATCTTTTTTTAGACATTTTTTAAAACCAGATTTTCTACACAAATTTATAAAGCCACAATATCTTTTTTTTTTTTTTTTTTTAGCTATTTCGTATTTAATTTGTGAAATAATATCAAACAAATACATGACTTATACATAACGAACTGTCTGCTGACTCCACTGGCTACATCTACATACCATTGACTCTCGACAACTTACTTTTGTATTTTTGGCTCCATGTCTTACTTTCATGGGTGCTAGACGTTAGTTAAGCATAATGTGACACGTCCTTAATATTGGGTAAGATTGTTATTGTTCGACATTTTTTGTGTGGACAATCACTAGGAGGTTGCTGCTGATGCTGCTGTAATTGTCTCTTCTGAAGAAATATGGCAATGTACGTCCAGAAAGATGATGATGATGATGATGGATGATGATGATGATGATCACGATCATGATGATGATGACATTTTATATTGTTATGTTATTTTGTCTGAAATTCATACAAGATTCTCCCTCCTACTCTGCTTTCCAAACAATGATGATGATGATGGATGATGATGATCATCATCATGATCGTGATGATGCTAGTATACAGCGCTCATTTAGTTTTTCTCTCAGTTGCTCCTAAGGAAGCTCAAGAGGCGAAACGTTGAGCTGTGTCTATTAAACAAATTTTTAACATTTTATATTGTTATGTTATTTTGTGTGAAATTCAAACAAGACTCTCCCTCCTACTTTGCTTTCCAAAAAATGATTTTTTTTTTAAATTTATAAAAAAAAATATTTTGAATGTTCCTGATGAAGCCCGTTGAGGGCGAAACGTTGAACTTGTGATAACATTTTTGGAAATGCTGCCTGGTCTTAATCGTTTTAATATCTGGTTTATACAATGATGATGATGATTATTTTTTTTTTTCGTTTCCTTAATGGGCCTGACGGACTTCACGAAGAAATCTTCGAGCGAGAGCGAGGCTCTTTTTCGGCTCCATTGTCAATATGCTTAGCGGCACCTCCACTCGTCCAAATAACTCCATTCGAATTGCCTGATGATGATGATGATGATGATGATGATGATGATGATGATGAGGATGATGATGATGATGATGATGATGATGATGATGATGATGATGATGATGATGATAAAGATCTCTCCCCCACTTACTTTTTTGGACATTGTTCTAATTTCCATCTTGCTTTCTTCAATTTGCTGTTGCTGTTTCTCTTCAGGAAGCTCTGATTCAGAGAAAAAAAAAGAACAATGTCATGAAAGATTAGCGTGAGGCATCGTGGTGAAATCGGGCGCTCGTCAAGATAATGAAATCCTAGAAACGGGCATTGCTCTGTCAATTCCGTCATTTTTGTCGAATGTTTGTTTTTTGGCTCAACATCTTTTTGTCCTTTTAACAACACGTTCCATGTGAATTTTACTGAAAAACTTTGATTAAAGACTCAAAATATGTAAAATTTTAACTTTCAAGATCTCTCAAGCTATGAAGTCACCATACTTTGGCGGCCATTTTCTCATTAATTTTACCACTGAAACCTGGTGACCCCCCCTCTTCAACCGCAAATATCTAGACTTCAATTTTGAGATAGATAAACCCTCGAATCTATGCCACCTCTAGAGCTTACTTGTGTTGCAAGTGCTTCTCTTCATGAAGTTCAGATCCAAAGTTAGAAAAGAACAAAACAATGAAAGGCAAATGTGACCCATCGTAGAGAAATCAGGCGCTCGTCATAATAATGAAATCAGAGAAAACGGCGTTTTTCTTCCATTTGACCATTTTTTAAAAAATTATTTTTTTTGGCTCAACATCTTTTATGTCTATGTAAAATCATATTCCTGAAACGATTTTACTGAAAAACTTTCAGGTAACTTTCAGCTACTTTAATCAAGAATATCTCCATTTCTATTGAAGATAGATGGTTAATTTTTTCATTGAAAGCAAGACAAAGGACCAAGCTATAAGATAATTCAAATAACTCCATATGCCCAAAAATTTACGAGCGACTGATTTCACCGCGTCGTGACACAAATGTATTTATGCTTTGAAATCATCATGACAATAGTCTAATCAAAAGTAAACTCTTACTAAAATACTTTTTAAAGTTTTACCTTTGACCTGAAGGCTGGCCATGGAAGTTGCGGAGCCCCACTGGTTCTTGATCATCACGCCATACTCGCCGGAATCTTCCGGAAACACCTCGGAGATGTTGAGTTTGGCCACGCCCTTGTCGTAAGAGACAGCGTAGACATCGCCAGGCTTGATGGGCTTCTTGTCCTTCGTCCACTGGGTCTCCACGGGCTCCGTGCCGGTCAGCTTGGCCACAAACTCCACCTGGTCTCCGTCGTTGACCACTTTGGGCATCAGCTTCTGCGTGAACTTGGGCGCTTCTCCCTTGGGCTTGGGCTTCAGAGCTGGAAAAAAATTTTGGTTTTTTTTTGTTTTGGTAAATGTTTTACGGCACTCAAAACTGTATAAGGTCATATGGGCGCATGGGACACATTAAACTTTTTCAGCTGGTAGGAAATTTTGAATTTTGCCTGGGTGGCGGCTAAAGCCTACTCTTATCGATTTTAGACCAGCAAGGAATCTTTAACACGCGCGACTTGCACACTTGGTAAAAAATTTGAACATTTAAATGAAGGCATTTTTACGGTCCAATCAACACAATAAAGTTCATTTAGGAGGTGGGCTCTGACTCTGCCTGTCTGGGCTGACCTGGGATGAGAAGGATACAACATCCCAGGATGAAGGCAGAGTAAAATTTTACCATGTGTTTTCTGGAGTTCCTCAAAATGGAGTCTGTTTACGATAAGTGACATAGATCTGTACGTCGTGTTTTACTATCGTATCCATACGAAGTGGGGAACTCTGTGCCACCACTTTCAAAGAGGAAATTTACTCGTTAATCCGATCTGTATGCTTTGCATAGCAATCTGTCAAAATGATTTTTTGAGAAATACTGAATGTTTCAAAGAGATCTTCATACTAGAAGTATTCTAAAATGTGAAGATTACAACACCGAGGGTACAAAATGACACACACACAACAACAACAACACACACACACACACACACACACACACACACACACACACTCACACTCACACTCACATACACACACACACACACAAACTTGACTATCAATTCAGATCTGTAA